TCGCGATGCGACTCTCGACGACCACGGCTGTCCGATCGACGCCTCCGTCCACAAGAACGTGAACGATGTCGCCCAGCCGATCTCTCATGCTGCAACAGCTTCACCTGGTCTGTCAACATCTGCAGGGCTCAGCAAGGTCGTAGCTCAGTCCTCATCCGGTCGACTTGTCTTGCCTCCGCGATGCGACACTTTGCTTCCGCAACTGCCTTTGCCGCGGGCGTGATGTTTGGCCTTCTTGGGTCAGGAGGCGGCGGCAACAATCGAGCTCCTGCCAAATGCCTGAGACGACGGCGCTGTGGTCTCGTCAGCGTCTCAATTTGTTTGACTCTCCTGTATCCCAACGGCTAATTCTAATGGACGCGCTTCAGCAGGTTGTCGCGGCTCCTGTTTGCAGCTGCGTCCGTGGTGCTGTGCTGGCGCTCCTCACACTGTCCTTTGCGCACGCCCGACATTTGGGCCCAGCTCTGCTCGGCGTTGGCGTGGCTCAAAATCACTGGAGCTTCGAGTTCGAGGGCGAGGAGACACGACGCAATCAACCAACTCATACTTCTCGACCGATGCCGATTGCGACGGCAATAACACGCCACTCCAAGGGACTTCCCTTCATGATGTGCCTTGTGCGTCAGAGTGCTATCCGCCTGTACGGTGGCGTGTTTGACCCAAACATTCCTTGAAGGATCCCCGGATGTGTCCCGACATGGGATCGCAGCAAGGTGTCGTGGTTTGGGTCCACAATGCAAGGATCACCAGCTCCTTGGCCGTTTGCAAGTTCTTCTTGCGATCAAACGTCTTTGCATGGTAGACCTTAGCGCAAGAGATGATGTGGGTTGGTCACGCGTCGGAGGATCCATCCCTGCCATGAACGCGGTCAGGGTAGTGCCGTGGCTCAGGGCCGAGTATGGGAGCTTTCTCTCCTTCCATGCCTTCAAGGCCTTTTGAGAGCTCTTTGCGCGCCCTACGCAACTCAAGTCCAACACCTTCGACGAAACACTCCATCTCCCATGCTCTTGGTGAATGCTAATGCGGCCCGTGCATGTTCTGACAAAGCAAATAGGAATCTGCACTGCCCCATGGTCACACTGTCTCCTGCAAGACCTCTAAATGACTTCTCATCTCCTGGCAAATCAACTACATGATAGCCTAATGCATTGAACTTTTGTTTCGCGTTCTTGATCCATGCTTCTCCACAAACTGTTGCATTGCAGCCCTTCGGCCAACACAGCCCAAGCATGGGGTCTTCATAGATGTCCACAACTTTGAGGGTGCTTTCAATGACAACTTCATCCAAGTCAGTCAGTCCCATGTAGCCGTGCTCTGGTCCACGGCCTTTGCCAAGATCTCAAAGATGACACCTACACCGGATTGGCTCATGATGTTCAATTTCTGTCTCCATGTCAGCTTTGAACCGTTCCCAACCCCCCTAAGCTGCTTCTGCGTCCACATGTGTCTTGTTGACTTCATGTTCATCTAGTGGCAGAAGTACCATACATGCATGTGCTGCTACTTTCTTGGCCGCTGCCTCTTCCCTGGGCGTTTCATCAACGACACCAGATGATCTTCGTTTTCCTTACCTTGCCGCAATCAAGGCAGGTCTTGGAACCGCGCAAAAAGTTTTTGAACCCTGATAGGTAGAACGAGTGCAACGGCGTGGCGCCTCAAGTGGTGGATTTGGTGGCTTGCCGTTTGCACGTTGCTTCTTCACAACACTGCGAACAGCTTCTTGAGAGGATGTTCTCTCAACTCCACGTCTCTACTCTCAATGACTTCGTACCCAAGTGAGAAAGTCTGCCAAACACTTGGAAGGGTGTGAGATGTGTGATCTGCATTGGTAACCTCCAGGGTTTTTGAACAACACTTCATGATACGCGTGACCAAAAGACTCAAAAGACAAAGACTGTGTTCGACCCTTCTGGCAACAGATCTTGCTCCATGTTCTTGCCACGCCTGATGGACGGCGGTGACTTCCTTTATAGGGGACCTACGAACGTCTGCAGTGACAATGCCATGTAGTGTAGCGTGCGCCCTGTCTTCTTTACTTGGCTTCCAACGGGAACAAAATTGTGCTCATCATCTGTCTCTTTTGAAGAGTCATCACCCAAAGCGCAGTACGCTGTTCCTTTACTGGTGGTCGACGATCCTCCAGGCGACTTGGCACTTTGCTTGGGATTTTTGCGCGTTCGGTCTTTTGCCCACGTGTCCTTTTCCTCCAACTTGGCAAGTCGTGCAATCCTGTCTTGCGCGCTCAACTGTGTCCTGAACATTTTGCCAAATCCATTGCCTTTGTTGCCTTTTCCCTGCTTCTGATCAACGGTGACAAAGGCCATCAGCTGAGCCTTGACTTGCTTCACCCAGATCTTCTGTCACAGCATGTTCTTCATCATCACATTCGGCCATAGCAGTCAGCGCAGCTGCTGTCTCAGTGTCTCCAACAAGCTCTTCCTCTGGCTGATCATCGCCTTCTGCAGCAAGGTCTCATCGTCTTCAATCTCTGCTTCTGGCCCGTAGACCTTTTGCCAACCGCGTCCCTGTTCTCGCTAAAAAGGACTTGCCAGTTGACTGTCCAACCCTTAATGAACAAGAGGATGAGCTTCTTGCTGTCGTAGAAAAAGCCTGTGGGTTGCAACAACTTCTCCAGGCCCAAATCCTGTGCAGCAAGGTGCGCATCACCTCTCGGACCCTCCAATTCCTTGTGCACAAGAACTGTGAAATCCTCCTCTCCTTCATCCTGCCCGGTCGTACTCTGAGCTGCGGACTCTTCTTTTGGTGTCCCGAAGGTCTCCGGGAACGCCTCGTCTCCATCCGCAGATGTCGGCCTTCGGCTGGCTGTTCTTCTTGCTCTTCTTCACACCCTTTTGACTGCACAAAGCAACGCAGACCCATGTGCGAAACTCCCACTCGAAAAAGTTGCCACTGTAGCCGTTTTTGGTCTCCTGAGGACCTGACAGTCCACATCCAAAGGAGGAGTGCCGCAGGCCAGCCAGCGACATTCCAAGGCAGACGGGTTCAACGGATATTGCGTGCAGTGTGTCACGCAATGGGTTCAACGGTGGATCCAACGAGTCCTCTCCGGGTGGGTCAGGAAGAGAGGTTCCCCCTCGACCTGCTCCGCTACCTGTTTGAAACTCGCACCAATCCTTTTGTTCGTGCCAACTAGCTCAATGCGCTTGATCCACAAGCCAAAACAGCCCCGGGATGCCCCGGGAATGTGCTTACTGTACAACACACCCTAGTTGAAACAGCTCAGAATCACTCAGATGCATCCTTTTATGTTTGTTCTCTTTTCCGGCAATCTTCAAGAGAGCTTCCCATAGACTTGAGAAGGCTTCTTTGAAGAGCCCTCGTGGTGTCTGCTGTTAGTAGCCTGTGTCTAAAGGGAACTTTCATTCCTTACCGCCTGCGGGTAAACCGGTACGGCTTTGGCCTTGTGGCCTGTAATTGACGCCACTTTGGTGAAGCTACGCAAAGCGAGCTCCGCAGCACTCCTGCCGCAGTGACTCCAATAAACCGCTCCTCCGACAATCTGCCAAAATGCCTTGTATCAAGCGTTGGTCATTGATCTTTGCTGTTATTAGTTACTAGGGCCTTTGGGGCGGTAGGAGGTACTTAAATACAGTAAAGCAAGTGTGCACTTGCACCTGGACGCAGCAGAGCTGGGGCTCTTCAAAGTCAAGCTGCCGCCACTCCCCAAGTTTCGAATCTTTAAGAGCTGTTTTGCCAACTCCTCGAAGCCTCCATCCATTCTGCAGCCTTGGCCTTGAACTCCTCCAGTCTTTCGCTCAAATCGACACTGGGCACACAAAGAAACGGTCAAGAGCATTGCTGTATTGTATAGAATCACAATGAAGGCATGTCAGCAAACTGTAACACGTGAATCTGTCAAAGAACATTTGCGCGCCAGACTGCTCCATGACCAATGAGGCATGGACATGCATGGAATTCTTTGCTTCCAATGGTCCAACGCTCTCATTCATCCGAACTTGCGGGATGGACCAGTCTTACCCTGGGAAAATTGCAAGTCTTTTACACCTGAATAAATGCCTTTATGAAAACAGGTCATGCATTCCTTTTACTGCGCTCTCCACACGGGCGAACTAAAGGCTTTCATCGCCGAAGTTGTGGATGCCGGTGCTGGTTAAAGTGGTGTCCCCTTACGCACGGTTATGCACGTCTTGTGAAGCGAAATAAACTGACTTGCATTGGTGTGGCAAGCCGTCATATTGGTCAAACACTACGCCCTTGAGGCTGAGGTGATCCTGAAGTCGAAGCTCTTTCCAGAGGTGAAGTGGCAGGTTTTGCTGGTGCTGACCATCATGGCTCTAACAACACGTTGGCAAATGGTATGTCCGTGCTGCTCGTGAAGAGTAAAGCTTCTTACCGCTGGCGAAGTGATATCTGATAGGCTCTTACCCATCGAAAATAGCGTTGGCCGAATCGCAGCGGCCGCTGATCACCGGCCACCAGGATCATATAGACAGCGTGGTGTCAAATCTTGTGTAGGAGTGATCCCAAGTTTCCTGTTGCTTTGACCCACACTCAAATCTGGCACATTAGACAACTCTTGCGTGGAAGACTGAAGGCGCTCATTGAAAAGAAAAGCGGTAGAAGGAGTAGAGTTCCCTTCATCCCTGCGGTGTTGCGTTTGCTAAGCAACGCGCCCACTTTTCAGCAAGCAAGTGCTCCCCGCATCTCCCGCGCCTACGCTCTGGTGTAGCGGACTGTTGGGAGAAGCATATGCAGCCATTTTGAGCCACTTATCGGCAAACAAAATCAAACAAAGCCTTGACTGGGACCGGCGCCGCTACCTCAATCTGTCAATGCTTTCTTGTTGGTCTAGAGTCCAAACACACACGCTTGCGACGCTTGTGAAATACACATGTTAGAATCTCTGAAGCTCCTCTGCCAGCTTCTCGAAATGTGCTGAAGCCCTCCGAGCTTCATCCAATGCCTCGGAAAACCGTTTTAGTGCCTGGCCTCTCAAAGACCAAAATCAACAGCTGGAGGGAAAGGGTTATACTGGAAGTCGCTCAATCTGCGCAACTCTTTTTTCTGAATCTAAAGTGCGCAACCTTTAGAATTGGTGGGATTGCCTGGTTTTCAGGCCATCGGACTGAACCGGTCAATAATCGCGCACCTGAAGGCGAAATCCGCATCAGAAAACTGTCAAGCGAGCGTCCTTTCCTTGCATTTACAAGCATGCCATTGTCAAATGTTGCTTCAAACACTCGTTTGTTTTGTTGCTATATGGGACCCAGATCATTGACGCATGTTGACATATTATGTTACTATGTCACTTGCATGCGGACGATAGCTGTGACTCCTACTGCCATGTGCAGTCTAAGATATCAAACCCTTGCCTGGCCAAATCGATAGGCCTCAGTGTCCCACATGCAAGGTAACAACGAAGTTAAGTAAAGGCCGCCTTTCTCAATATGGCAAGCGGCGAGCAAATGCCATCTGTATTCCTCTTGTTCAAGAGACTGATGTAGTGAGGCAAGTGAAGTCAAGGTACCTCTCAAACACAACAATCTGCTAATTGGAGGGCTCAGTGAATACAATTTTTACCAGTTTTTTTGTACACTTGGGACGCCTGGCTGAACTTGAGTTTGACACAGTACCAACAAATCCGCCCGCACCGAAGGTGCCGAGGCGTTTTATGAGGCTCGCGTTATACCGCAAGTACCGCAAGTACTAATAGCTTTAGCTAGGGGGGGGCCATTTTCGCTCTAGAATCCAGTGTTTTTTCACGTTTTTGGAGCCAGCTTAAAGTGCTGGAAGATAAATTCGTGCTAACTTGAAGCCTCTAGTGATGCAAGAAATGCAAGTTTCTGCTTTGCATCATCTGCATCATCTGCGCGGTACATAGCTCTAAAAGTCACTATCTAACGGACGTGTCTGCGAGATAGGTACTTGAACGTCGTAAACATGGCCGAACGGGACTGGAATAGAGTGAAGATAATAGGGACTTGAACGTCGTAAACTGGAACAAAAACCCTCCCCCTAACGTGGCCAAACATAGCTTCTATATTGTCTGACATAGCTTTAGAAGTGATATTTGGCTACAGAAGAAGCAGAGATAAGCAGAGATCACGTCCAGGAACGGTAACATTTTCGTACGAGCAGAGCGTGCGTGGGATCGAACATAGCCCCAGAAGTCACTATCTCAAGCATGCTTCTTCGAGATAGGGACTTCAACGTCGTAAACATAGCCCAACGAGGGCTCAAAAGGGACTGGAAAAGCCTGCAAAGTCACTATCAAAGTCACTATCTTAAGCACGTCTCCTCGAGATAGGGACTTGAACGTCGAGATAAGGAAAGATAAGGTGGTCAGGAGCAGAGATAAGGAAAGATAAGGTCCAGGAATGGTAACATTATCTCACGAGCATAGCTCCCATATAAAACCGTTACCGTTAATTGACCTTATCTCTGCTTATCTCTGCTCCTGTTGAGCCGAATTGCGCGATCTTGAGCTACCTTGAGAAAAGATACCTCAATTTGCGACGTTCAAGTCCCTATCTTCCTTTCATACTGACTCCCTTGGCTCCAAGAGCACAAGACCCCGTTCGTGTTCCTTACTGCAGCTCTCTCGGTAGCAGTCTTTTAACCCCCAACTACATTGGGCCATGTCAAATCCCTATCTCGAAACATGAAAGGGGGGGGTCACTTCCGGGGCTATGTTCGGTGGAAATATTGTCCCCTTCCATGCGGTGCGGGCGGTTACCGTCGCGAAGCGACGTGAATTACGCGCTTCCAAAGCCAATAGAAGTCCGGCAGCTATCAGGGTATCTACAGTCCTGTGGCCATGGGGCTCGAGGTCAATGGATCTTTGCAAAATGCAAAACTGGAAAGGAGGGCGCCCTTTAATAGCGAAAACAGGCAAATCCTTAACTGCGAAGTTGTGGTTTTTTATTGCGAAACTTGTTCACTTGCGAAACTTCTTTTCATGGAGGCTCTTAATTGCGCCTTTCAACGTTTAAAAAAACATCAGGAAAACGGCCCCCACTGCGTTGTGTTGGCAGAGACCCAGCTCTGCCATGTTGACTCAGCCATGCGGTGGCAACCAGCGTGTCATTTGACAATTGCAAGATTCATTTTCGCAATTAAAACATGGACTTCGCTATTAAAACAATACTTTCGTTATTAAGAGGTACCCTGACCTGGAAGGCACTTGGTCAACTCTACAAACAAGTAATCTATTCTTCGGAGAATTAGAGCGGGTAGGCAAAATTCTTGAGTACCCTTGCCATGTGTTTTTGTTGCTCGTTCTAGTGACGTGCTTAAATTCTATTCACAAATCTATCTATCTATCTATCTGTATATATATATGTAGCTGGTAGTCATGCGGGGTGGGGTTGTGAAAGTTGTGATTTTGCACGATTTGTTCTTCTTGGAGATGATATGACATTGATGGGATTGTGATAACTGTGATTTTGCAAGATTTTGCTCTATTTGCTAATGACATGACATTGATGGGATTGTGAAACCTGTACTTTTGCAAGTTTTTGCTCTATGTGCAGCTGGTAAGCACATTTTTCATTCAACCATATACACCAAAAAATGTGAGTCAGGTGTTTACAAAATAATTCTTGGATGTAACCTAAAACTGTTTTTGGAGCCATCTTGCGAGTTGTGTTGCTTATTTGAATGCAATTTTGATAAGCACATCAGAGTCAGAAGGCAAAGAGTTGCAAATCCTAAATGACGACTTTCTAGTTCAATTCTAATTGAATTCAAGTTCGAATCCATCTATATTAATCCTACTTTAATTCAGTTCTAATTCTATTTCAGCGATCATTTATATAATTGAACTTTGGTTTTTGAGCTTTGGTTTGGATTGAAGCCCATATAATCTACTTTGATTGGGGTTCAATGCAAATCTAATTCTGATTCAATTCTATATCTTCAACTTTTTATGCAGCTCATATTTTTAAGATCCAATATAATTCTTCTCTTTCAAATCCAATTTTAACTCTTACGCAATTTTAATCCACGTCTAGAGAGAATGTCGCTTCTAAAAAGGAAGCTCTTTATATAGTTTTAATGTTGCTTTCTCAAAATTTGTTTTCTTAAAATCACACCCCCAGCAACACCCACTCTCTAGAATGAAATCAGAATCGAATCGAATTAGAATTCAATTTGCATTGAACTAGAAGTAAGTTTGTATTGAACTAAAGCCGAATGAAACTTAAATGTTAATCAATCAAAACCAAACTGGAAACCAAAAAAATGGTGAATAATTAGAAATGTAAAACAACAAAATTTGAATTGTAAAAGGTTTAATCTTGCGTTAAGCTAAAGACTAATTACAAATAGATCTAAAAAACAAAATTAGACTTGAATTAACATTAGAACTAAATGAGAAATAGAAGCAACAAATTAGGCTAAAATTGGCTTCAACTAGGTTTGAATTGAAATATTTAGTTAGAATTAGAGTTGAATGCGAAGTAACTTAAAATGAGAAATACAAACAAACTACATTAGATTTCATTTTGACTTAAAAAGGACTTAGAATAGAAATAGCTAGAAATTCAACTAGAATTAGAATTCAACCATAACTAACGGCAACTTATTTTGTAGAATTGAAAATTTTCTTTGGAATTACATGAGAAATCAACTATATACAAGCAAGTAGAACTAAATGAGAACAAACGTTACAACCTTACTTTTGCATGAATTCAATCTACTTTTGTTTCAAAAACACATTAATTTGCAAAGCGCATAAAATAGAATTGAGTTTGAGTTAAATTTCAAGCCAATGATAAATATATTATAACTTTGTTTTATTTCAGTTCAAACCTAAATCAAATTCCTAGAAAATTATACTTGGGCTAGACACGTTTAACTTAGAATGTGTTAGGATGGAATTAGATCTCAATTAGAGTACTATCAATCAAGACTATTCCAACATCACACCAAAACCTCGAGAAACCAACGCAAACAACAAAAACAAAACAACACGTTCAGACCCATGGAGACGGTCTGCTGGGCAGGGGACATGGGTCTGCACTTCTTGTCGTTGCTTTGTTGTTTATCAATCCCATGGAGAGGGTGAGGAGAGGCTGGACAGGAGGCATTGGTCGGAAAAACTTTTTGTTTTGGTTTGTCCATTGTTTGGCAATCCAGCCAAACCCCAAAATAATTATAGGACCATAACCCCACATGTTAACAACTTCACCAGACACAGGAGCGGACAATTGGTGGTTGGCAATTGGTTGGTGGCAAGTGGTTGGTGACAATTGGTCGGTGGCAAATGGTTGGTGGCAGTTTGTTGGTGGCAGTTGGTGGGTGGCAATTGGTTGGTGGCAGTTGGTTGGTGGCAAGCGGCGGACGCGCGCAAATCACAGCGGCACAGTGGCGGCGACCCACGGACGCCAGTGACGCCAGGGCGTACATCCGACCCCTTGGAGAGCAGGACGTGTTGCGCCTGCCACGCAAATCACAGCGGCACAGTGGCGGCGACCCACGGACGCCAGGGCGTACATCCGACCCCTTGGAGAGCAGGACGTGTTGCGCCTGCCGCGCAAATCACACCGGCAGAGCGGCGGCGACCCGCAAACGCCAGGGCATACATCCGAACCTTGGAGAGCATGAAGTGCTGCGCCTGCCACGCAAATCACACCGGCAGAGCGGCGGCGACCCATGGACGCCAGGGCGTGCATCCGACTCCTTGGAGAGCACGAAGTGTCGCGCCTGCCACGCAAATCGCACCGGCAGAGGGGCGGCGACCCACGGACGCCGGCGACGCCAGGCCTCTTGGAGGAGGTGCGTCCGACCCCTTGGAGAGCACGAAGTGCTGCGCCTGCTACGAAAATCACACTAGCAGAGGGGCGGCGACCCACGGACGCCAGGGCGTACATCCGACCCCTTGGAGAGTACGAAGCGCTGCGCGTAAATCACACCGAGAGAGGGGCGGCGACCCAGGAATTTTTGGAGAGCGCGAAGCGCTGCCCCTGCCACGCAAATCACACCAGCAGAGGGGCGGCGACCCACGGACGCCAGGGCGTACATCCGATCCCTTGGAGAGCACGAAGCGCTTCAATGTGGAGAAAAAACAACAACTAGACGACGGTTGGCCCGAGAGCGAGACATGTAATTGTCCAGCACTGTCGAAAAGATGTATAGAAAGAGAGAAAGAGAGGGTGGATGTGAAGGAGTGACAGTGTGGATGTGCAGGTGCGAGATAGATCTGTAGATGTATGGAGGTGGAGAGGTAGATCTGTGGATGTGAGCGTGCGAAGATGTAAATGCACAGAGACGAGAGGAAAGATATGTAGAAAGAAAGAAAGAAAGACAGGACAGATGTGAAGGAGCGACAGTGTGGATGTACAGATGTGATATAGATGTGCAGATGTGTGGGTGTGGTGAGGTGGAGAGGTAGATCTGCGGATGTGAGCGTGTGAAGATGTAAATGTAGAGAGGTGAGGGGGTGTAGACGTAGATGGGTCGATGCAACGGCAGCGCAACGTCAACCTTAGTTGCGCAAGTAGCTGAAGAGGTTCAAATAGAACTGAA